TTTAGTGTGAAACAGACTCTGAAGTTACAAGCAGAGACGTTCCCTAATATGGATTATGTCAGTGGAGAGAAATACTTCCACCACTGCCAGTACTACCCTGAAACGAAAAGGAGAAGCTGACTGTGCCAAAGCTAAGCAAGGGCACCAAGCAAGATAGAACCTCTGGGTGAGGCTAATATAATTCCTTCATCAAGTGAATAGAGAACAAGGCAGGCAAAGATGGGAGAGACTGTTGAAGAGAAACCATACGCTTAGGCAGGAACCATCGAGTGGGTAGAGGGGAGGGTAGATAACTCACAATAGTTGACCATGGCATTGTCAAACTATATGGATAGAACATAGGAGCGACAAAGTATGTAGTACCAGAGGTCCTTTTTTCATTTTGTTATCTTATTTATTCCTCCAGTTCTACATACAGTAAGGCCAGGGATCACATCAGCCATTACCAAGTAGACCTACACCTGCAATCTGCCTTTTTCTCCAGTAGCCAGAAGAAAAACCATGACCCCAGAAAGGCTAATACCAGAAGGTAGATACACGATCCTCAGATCCCACGACTTGAATGAGGAGGGGTCTTGTCTAGAGCCACAAATATCCAACTAGTCTGCAATTTAAGAAACTTTCTGGCTAGTCTCCCGCATGGCTATCTGCAAGCTGTAAATACAGAAAACCCAGAAACAAATTCTTCAATGTAAGAAAATTGCCCATCCCGATAGTACACTACCAACTGAACGAAAAAAAACACAAAAGCAAGGAAAGCGCAGAACTGCGGGCTGAGACTACCACCTCGTCTATGACAACCAGATACCTTGCATGACTAGTGTGACAGACTACACTCATGAAGTAGAAATAACAAATAAACCTGCTGTATAAGTGACATAATCGTATATCTTAGGCATAATGTCCAGGGACGCAAACAGGACAAACTAAAAGGAAAAGAGCCCCTATTGTAAACAAGAGGTATTGGTGAAATATGAGCTCCAAGCCATCCATTTAGGAGAAATGGTAGGGCTACTTGAGGTAGTAAAAGAGGGTACGGTAGTAGGGTACCAGGAAATAGAAGTAGGATACAAGCCGATGCAACTGAAAAAAAAAAGGTGACAGGGGCTGAGGTCCTAGTGCAAACCTGACTGAAACCAAACCATTACCATATTACTCCATCTCTCCTGTAGAACCTTATTCTCCAAGTGCTTGTGTTACTTAGTGGAAGGGATCCTACTGGCAGTAAGAAAGTAGAAGGGCAAGGGGAGGAAGGCAACCGCAACTTGAATTAGGCAAATAAGATGGTAGAGCGAAATCTCACCAAGAGACAAACCCCAAAGTTACTTGCTGAGGTATTGCCCAGCGGTGATCGTGCAAGTGGGGAGAAAGATGTCTACTACTACCAGCAAGGACAGTAAGTGAAGAGAGGAAGCCAACCCTGCTAAAGCGAAGTGAGCCCCTATTATCAAGACAGGACTACTCAGTGAGCCCAGATAACTACCCCATTGCGCAGACAAGCGACAAGTGAAGCAAGGACCGGAGAGGATAGTAGTGCCAACTATACCCCTGAGCAAGAACCATCGATAGGGCTGAGGAGTGTGGAGGGAGCCCATAATAGTTGATGTAGCATTGCCAAACTATGTAGGAGGAAAATAGGAGCGATGGAGCGTAGTAGTACAATATCTACCTCGACCCCTCAATTTTTACTGACATATCACCCAACCCTAACCCTATATCACTCATCTCTTCACATTACCTTATTCAATGACTCACTAGTGTGAGTCATGTAAAATCCTCAGCCAGCTCGCCTGAGTCAACGGCATAACATATATAACCTAATCACAATCCTTATAACAAGTCATATGCACAAGTGCTTTATATGTGAGAAACTCATGACTTATATATTCGAGTCACATGTGAAGGTTATGATATTATTTAACTTACACCTGTGAGTTATCACGTAACAATAAACACCTACCACTCACTAGTATACATCATGTGAAAACCTTATTCCTTCGCTCTAATTTGCATTGCTACAATCCAGTTTGTAACAGAGGTGTTGGATTGGTATGAACAGGTAAGATGTTGAAATTGTTTCCTGTTCAAGGCCAGGCAGGGCCATGACACCAGACGTGGGAAGAACCAACCAGGTAGTGTAGACCTGATCCATAGCAGCATGGTTGTTGCTGTAGTTTACAAAATGATGGTAACAAGATGTAAGTTTCCTTCCTGGGCACGCAGGAATAAGACAGCAGTCTTAGTTTCTGGTATGAGTAAGAGTACAAAATAGGTAGGCCAATTAGGTTGCTTTGCAGGTAGGAGCTGAGTGGCCAAATGGTTAGCGCTCTTTGTATTAAGAAAAGTGGTTTAAGAAGTAGCCTGGGGCAACATCTTGGCTTTAGAAGAAAATGCAGATCTTGTTACCTATGCGATACGTCTGCATAATTCCCTGTAATAACTATTGATGTTGCCGTTTTAGTAGCTCTAATCTCTTTATTATTCAGTAGGGAATGAGTATTTAAAATAGACACTATACAGATATTCCTAATAGAGGATACTGGAGCACAGAGGAGGTAGTCAGGGGATTCTAGGAAATAGTTACATCAAAGGTCATTGATGATAAGATGGAACTCGTTATGTGCAAGTTGGAAGAGGATGTAGGGCTTATTGCCAATCATGTATTTTTGTACAAAGTGGTTATAAGAAAGTCAAAATATAATGAGAAAGATAAAGCTGGTATTGGTAGGTAGTTGACCAGCAGGGTCAGAGAACCCGGGGAATTAACTGAGATGAAAAAGAAAAGAGGGTAGTTGTAGCCAGTATATAATACTTGCTGCAATTTCTGAAAAGATGGTACTCTTCCTGAAAATATTTGGGTTTGTGAAAGAAGTAGTTCTAATAGGAAAAATCTGCTCTAAGCTGTAGGGAGACCAGTTGAGTCTCTGACTATATGGGTGACTGTGGCAGTTTCAACTACAGTTGCTCGTTGGATTGTGCATTTTTTATTGAGTTGGTTCTTATTTTATTAGCACTGAGGTACTTGGGACTTAAAGGCACTGGGGATGTATTGAGAGACTACTTGGAGTAGGATCTGTATTTGTTGAGTTGGGTGTAGTTTACTAGTACAAGGTACTAAAGGTGGTCAATTTTAATTGAGAGTTCTGTGACCAATGCTTTAAGTATAGCTAGTGAGAAGCTCGAACATTAAATACAGTAGCAAGTGCTTTAATCATGATGTAAAGTTTTATACCAATTGTAATAATGTCTACAGTCAAGGTGAAGAGAAGGGTGGTAATGATAAGAGATCTGTCATTTGAATTTTTAAAGCAATTGTTCATAACAGCTGTTGCAAGGGGTATGAATTCTGCTAGAAGATTGCGGCAATTGACATTGGCCTACAATTCCACCACCATCCAGTAGGTAGGTGTTACAAGCTTTGTTGAAAGAATTAAAGGGCAAGTAGGAACTTTAGAGAAAAAACTGATGAGGCTTGTTCTATAGGGGACTCTGGTGAGGTGAGTAGTCTCTGACGAGATGTCCATAGGAATTTCCATTACTGCATAAAGTGGGAATTACTGTATAAACTCAAGATATCTTGTCCTCTAACAAAGAGAAAAGAATCAAGTAGAGTTAGTATAAGAGTCAAAAAGATCAATAGTTCCAGGAGTTGATTTTTGGTGCCAAAGTGTTTCCTAAGTCCAAAGTAGAGAATGTACAGTCTTTCCAAAAATCTTGAGAAACAGCATTGAGGATTTTATCTTAAAGGTTAATGCTATGACTTTATATAGACCCTCCCACAACCTGCTTATAAATTCAAATATCACATGGATTGCAGCTGCACCCCATATGACTACATTTTTTAAGTCATATGCTTAGCCCCCATAATCACTAAACTGGTCATGTGTGTGAAATCCAAGTAAGACTTACCAGGCTTACTCCTATCTAACTAACAATTCCAATATCATATAACAATCATGCCTTAACCTCTAAATCTTATGCACAACTCACATTACCTTGAAACACATCCTGTGTACAAACAATAATCATAACATTATATGACTCAAATGAGTGATTACTTAAAACTCTGACATCTGAAATGTTTTACAAACTACAATGTATTTGTCACAATAACCAATCTCAGTATATATCTAAATATTAAATTTCAGATAAACCTGTATCAAAAATATTAAATAAAGCCCCAGTATAATAAGAGAAGACATCAACTTACTTTTGCAATATCTGAAAAGAAGAATGCAGAGGTATTGTATCCAATGCCCAAGCAGTAAATTAGAAGTAGGATTAAGAATTAGAACAATAATAATAACCTAGCAGAATCTCTATCTACAATTTCTGCAACATGAGAATGTTGTTGCCCTCCTGGCTCTAAAAATAAGCAAACGGCAATTCATTTAAGCTAACTCCTCTATTAATTGTGATTATTCAACTCTCATAATATTGTATAATGTAAATCATTAACATATAATCTTTATTTCAACCTATTAGTTTTTTGTAAGATAAAAACAATTTCAATAGAATTAAACTACGCAGCTAGAGTGATTCTCCTCATCTATTTTCATGCTGTTTTCTCCATAGATGGTTGCGTTATTCTGATTTCTTTGTCTTTCTCTTTCTCAAAGGACCCCCTGGTTGCTATGCAAACTAAAACTGCTCCTAACTCAAAATACCTGGAAAAGCGAATTTACTCTGAACTGCACTCCTTTTTAGGTAGAGACGCAAGTCTCCAGGTCCGTAGATTCAAAGGGTACAGGACACAGTTTAACCGAACTTTGCCAAAACCTAGAAACAATCCTATCAAATTACCACATCCAGTGGCAAAAATCTGCTAACTTTAAGAAAACAGGCGTTACACGATTTCTGTATCACCTCTGAATCTTGACCCTTTTTTCCTTTGGTTACCTTGGTTTAGCTGGCCTATTTTCTCTTTCCCGCGTTCGACTGCCACGTGACACCATCGCATCTACTTCCAACCTAACAGTTGTCCCTCTGCAGACCTCACCATGGCTGAGCCCAAGATGCGCCCTGATGATCCCGTTCTCAAACTTTTCAACCAAAAAGAATCCGCCCTGACTGTCAAACTCAAATCCTCTTCACGTCCAGCTCCCAAGAAGACTGTTAACTGGAAGGAGCGAGCTAACGTGCTCGAATCACTTGGTGACTCCTCCTTATCTCGTACCTGCTTTCTTTAGTTGACGAGATGTAGATGAGAAACCCATTTCATCCCCTGCCGATGCCAGGTCCCCAGGAACTCTCGTCACGCAGCTGGATGATAAAGATATATCGGCGTTCCCGACAGGACGGCCGCTCCACGATGAGCCTCATTATACCGTCTGCAAGCGCTGCACAAAACCAGTCCTTAGGTCTGCCGCCGTGGCACATATCAAAGCCTGCCAGAAAGCAAAAGTGAAAGAGAGAAAGAAGCTGAAGGATGAGAAGGCTGCCGCGAAGGATAGGGGCCCCACAGCGGAGACAAACGGGGATGCTAACGGCGACGGGGATGACAAGAAAAAAGGTGCAAAGAAGATGATGAAGAAGGATGGTGATGGTACTAAATCCAAAAAACGAAAGGCAGATGGTTAGCTACGCCCTCTATGGTCTCGCTAGGGCTGTTTTACTGATTCCACGCAGAACCAAAACCCCCCAAGGAACCCAAAGCAAAGAAGAAGAAGGAAAAGCCTGCCAAACCCGACCCAAAACCAAAAGGTCTTTTTCCTGGTTTACTATATGAAATGTGTAACTAATGTTCCTAGCCCCCGTTGACGTGGAGAAGCAATGCGGAGTCCCACTTGCCCATGGCGCCCTCTGTGCCCGTTCACTGACCTGCAAGTCTCACTCAATGGGAGCTAAGCGCGGGGTCCTCGGCCGTTCTCAGCCATACGACATTCTCTTAGCGGCTTACCAAAAGAAGAACCATGCGAAGCAACAAAGTATCTCGCGCCCTCCATGCTCTTTGTTTCCAAGCTAACAAGCCAGCAGAGGCAGCAATCAATGCGGGAGCTCCACCACCTGACGAAATTGAGGCCAACAACATGCTAATTGACTCCGACGAAGAAACTGAGTTAGTCATGGCGGCGGTAACTCGCTCGATGCCACAACCGCTGGAACGACATATTCTTGTCCCTGTGCGGAAGAAGTACCAGTATGTCCGCATGAAGGAGATGTTAGCCAGTGCTCTCAAGCCACTCGGCAGACCGATGTTTGATGGGGCCAATACAGGATCGTTATTCGATACCTCTATAGCGAACCCTACCGCCCGAGCAATGCCGGGGGCCCAACAAGGGAGGCAGTATCCACATGTCCCTCAGTCTCGGAAGGGCTCGCTACAAGTGCCAGGATGAGATCGGTACTAATGAAATATGGTTTACCGGGGTTCTCTTGTTTTCGTCTCTTAGGTACTTAGTCATCGGGTTGGTGATTTATGGGCGTTAGATGGTGAATTACTTTTGTACAACTACTTCTACTACTACTGCTACTGCTGCTACAACTTCCTCTACTACCACTACTACATCTTGCTACATTCACATTTTTTCTTGAAAAATAAACGGTTGAGGGATAATACTTAGCGCCTCACCACCCGATTTTATGATAAATCGGCGAGAGCACCGGGGAAGGCTACCTTTCTAAAGTAAGAAGTAAAGTATCAAAATCAACCACATTAATCACCAAGCCCTCCGCTCAAGCGGCCCTAGCCCCACTCTAGCTGTCTTATCTACCCCAATTTGATCACGTTTCCTCAAGCTGTCCCATGTTCAACTGCCCACTCTCCCTCCTAAGCTCTTTAATCACCGCCTTTTCTCCCACGAATCCTAGTCAGCAATTATAGGTGTGAAGCCCCCGTACCGGGAAATGCCACAGCAGAAGGAAACCCACCGCCAACGCGTCAGGATGGACCCCGTTCTCTACGAGACTGACACAAAGACTCAGCGTAGTCCTGTCGAGATGCGTGTTCTAATTTATTTTACAGGCCAATAGAAGATCAGCCGAAGGATGGGACACGGGAAGTGGAGAATGGGACTTACAAGAAGTGTAGATATCTCGTGGAGGATGTCGATTACTTCCCTGGCCGCCTGTTGCTTTGATGGGCGGGTGGACATGGTATTTTTGGCACTGGTAGTGTGAGGAGGACGAAATAGACGTGACGCGGTCACAAGAGTGTAAGGTTGGAAACGTTGGGAATTGAGGGGGATAGTTTTCGGTAAGATGGTGTTATAAGACCAATCGGCAGGGAGAGGTGAGGTCATGGCGGTGTACAGTACCAGGGTTAAGGGTACGTGAGGCGAAGGGGGTGCGATTGGTTTGCCGCCGGTAGGGGGAGCGTGCAACAAATCAGGCATAGTGGCTCGGAATGGATGCAGGGGCTGGGGGACAATTTGAATGGAAGTCATAAAGGTTTATTCTACTCATATATAAAGATTTATCTAAGAATTGGTAAAGAGGCTATTTGCCTCAATAACAGCTTGACACCAGCAGGCACGCTTTCTATCAGCTCTCAGAATCCATGCAGCCTGACTTGCCCCCAAGCTTTCGCAACTGCATCCTTTAATTTATTAAATAACTGTCTTTTATAAATATATATATATCATATATTTATTGTTAAGGTATGAGAAATTGTATGCAGCAGGAGCTATAGTATAAAATAAACCATAAATACTTGGATCCATCCTGCTACTAGGTAAAAACTAAGAACCCCAAGTGCCTCGGGTATGGGGCCAACCACATATTTTTTTCCCCTAAGCTAGACCTAATATTACTATACAAGTGAACTGAGTTCTAAGAGAAACCCAGTCCAATATAAGTAGGAAGTCATAAAGAAAAACCTCCTGGAATATCCTGGCCCAAAGAGAGGAAGGAATATCAAGAAAGTAAAAATTATTAGAAAAGTACAGAGCAGTCCTAATCATGCAAAAGCTAACCGATTGCAGACTCCACAGAGGGCAGGTCCAAGAACCATGGCTGGAGATAAAGCATGAGACCTATAGGACTGAGAGAGTACAATTTAAATCAATAGAGAGAGGTTAGGGCTAGGGCCTATTGTAATGGACACATGTATACAGTTAAGGGTTTTGATTTATGTTTTGTTTTAAGTATCGATTTGATACTTAGATTGATTTTAGTATCACTTTGATACTTAGTTTGATTTATGTATTATTTGATACCAGACTTTGTTTTATGTTTTATTTGAAGTCTCACTTTGATACTTGGTTTTGTTTTATGTTTTGTTTTAAGTATCGTTTTGATACTTAAGTGAGTTTACCAAATTGTATTGCTTGATACCTTTGATTAGTTTCATTCATGCTAGAAATGAACAGATTTGTGTATTTAAAGAGTGCCTGATTCCACCATGGAAAGGGCTGACTTCGACAGATGGTATTTCAATATACTTGGTTGAACAGTTACTCTTTAGTTGTTCCAAGATACCTTTAAAGTCACTTTCAGTTCACAACTCTCATTTTCTCTCTGGTAGAGTAGGCTAGCTGTGAACTATCATACCTAACCCTAAAAGGTGAGTAGCACCCTGCGAACAGTTTATACTTTTGTAAACTCAGCAAGTGGTTAAGAACCTGTCACAGGTCTTTTGCCTGATCAACCTATTGACATCCACCTCAGAATGCTAGTGGAGAGAAGCGGCAAAATCATGTACATTTAACTTATTCTCAACACCAACATAGAGTCATTGACAACTCAGAGTAGGAAGCAGATTTCACGACAAGCCCTTATAAGGAAGAAACAACCCCAGTACTCAACTAAGAACCTAGAGAAAATGTGTCTTTAAAGCATTAATGATATGGCCAAGCGGAGCATAAACCAGAACAATCTACAAGTATGGAAACATCACTATCTCTGGGAGAATTCCCACCTACCACAGCAAAGAAACCTGCACTTGGAGCTGCTAACTATCATGACTCCAGTAGTCAATCCAACATAGCTAGTACTGAAGGAGGACTATTTAGAGGATAGTGTTCAAGTCACACCATGAAGAATATCAATCAGAAGTCAAAATAACTAACATACTTGAACTTAAGCTTCACCAACTACTGAAATTCACAGGAGAAGGGAAAGATCTTAAACCTGAAGTTTCTGATCAATGGCCTACTGAGCTTACACTCTACTTCCTCTTGAAAAAGCTCTACATGGAAAAGCCTATAACTGGCTTATATATAAGATTATTCTGTAAAGAAGAAGTAATAGACACATACTACTAATGCTACAAGGAATATAGTGGCAACCTGAGACTAAAAGGTTCAATTGTACTCAACTACCTCATGGAACAATTCCAATCCTCTATTACAAAGAACCTATTGTACTAGAAATTCAATGCACTTCACTAAGTTAACAGATTCAGAGGGTAAAAGAATCACAGAAATAGAAATAGACCTCCTAATGAACAAAGATTAAATGAAGGCTGGAAGAATCTCAGAGTATATTCTCAAGTCATGGTTCTATGATATGATACACTCTACTTGGAGGTGAGAAGTGGAATCATATGAATAAGAAAGTGATGCTATGATAACAATAATCACAAGAGCAGAATGCAGGAATGGCTTACTCCACAAAATTAAGGCAAACAAAACCCACGCTTTTTCCAGCAGTCATAGGAAATTATGGCACATGCTCTGAAATAATACTGATAAAGAAATACCTTGATCCTTTAATAAGAAGACAAAGTCTACCAAAGAATCAAAACACCAAAAGGGTGAATAATTTGAATAAAGAAAAACTAAACATATGGCTAAGAATTGTCCTACCAAGAAGGGCAAAGGAAAAGCATTCAAACTGGAGGCAGAGGCCAATAACATTGCAAGCAATAGCGATAATGTCCAATCCAGTAGATATGAGAAGATCCATACTGGATATATTGATATAGAATAAAACAGTATTGGAACACCCATAACATTCAAACCCCACACCATCCTAGAAGGAACAATTCTGATCAATGGCAAGAAGGACTATGTTTTGTTCAATTCTGGAACAATTGGATGAGATATGATCAGTAGCTCCTTCATCCCAGCTCATGCACTCCCAATCTAAGACTTTAACCAACAAATACTAGTCAATATAGCAGTAAAGGGATCATGAACTACAAGCAATAAGCCTTGTAGTGTAACTATCCAGCTTTGATCTGCTACCCTATCCCTACAAGAGATCCTGGTATGTAACCGAGCTAAATATGATACCATATTTGAAATGATATTTCTAAACTGCTCCAAAGCTATAATTAAAGATAAAAAATCAACTATTTGGTTACCCGAACAGGTGGTCAGAGTCTCGTGTAAGCTAACAGGTGGAGAATACCATACTGCAGTTTGTGAAATAAGAGCCCAATATGTGTTAGATAAATATTCTAATATTTTCCCAGACTAAACTCTGGAAGATCTGCTACTTATAAGTAAGGTTAACCACTATATGTACTTATGGGACTCCTCTAATCTAAAAAACCAACTAATCTACTCTGTTCTCGATATATACAGGACCATGCGAGATTAGATAAATCAGAACATGAGGAGAGGAGTCATCTACTGAGTAGAACAACTAGGTGCTACACACATGTTTGTCCAACTTAAAGCAGACAGCAACCGAATCTGCTCCCTGGTTGATTTCAAATTTCAGAATGGGAATACAGTTATGGACAGTTCTGCTATCCCTAACTAAACCTATATTCTGAATACAGTTGGGCAGGTGAGTTTCCAAAGCAAAATAGACATAAGCTATATGTGTTTCCAAACTAAACTGAATAAGAAAACCAAGTGTGACAACAGTTTCGTAACATCCTTTGGAAGTTTCATTAGCTAGGTTGTGTTATTAGATGTCATGAATATGGCTACTACCTTCATACGAATTATGAAAATCCTGCTAAGCAAGTACCTTTACCACTATAGATGTGTGTACATTGACAATATCCTCATCTACTTAAACTCTGAGGAAGAGCCTACATATCATATTAGTTTAGTATGTATCAAGCTAAGAGAAGCTAAATTCTAAGCTAGCAGAAACTAATCCATCATATTTCCCAACAGTCTCCATTCATAGAACATATAATAGACGATGATAGAATACACACAGCTTCTAGAAAGATATCTTGCTTCTGGGAACGGACAACAACCTGGAATCAGAAAGAACTCATGCGATTCCTAGAACATATCAACTACATCTTCTAGTTCCTACTGTACCACACCAATGTTACTGCACTGCTCACAGACACTACTGACAATGCAGAATTTGTCTGAACCCCTCATAATTAGGTCTTTAACAACCACAAGAAGTTGATTAAAAATGCCAATGTAATATGACCTATCGACTACAGTAAACCAGAGCCAATATGGCTGATAACTGATGCCTCAGATGTTGGAGTTGGAGTGGAAATTGTGTAAGGACCTTAATAGTGCTGGATTTACTCCGCCATAGTTTTCTACTAGTTATGGACAAGGTTGATGTCTTCCCACTATGGTCTCCTCACCTCCTCCCAGATCTGCTTCCCGACTTGGATCCTGACCTCTCACTGAGCTATATCTGTCTAGAGGCTAGATTCCAGTACCACCTCTCCTCTGACTAGGAACTAGTAGCTCCTCCTTTAGCTACTACAAGATTCCGGTGACTACTTAGTCTCAACTCTTCATGGGTATCTACAGATTCACCATGCGCCGTATACATTAGATCCAGTCGGGCAAGAGCTACTTTGCCGACTACAACTTTTACGGTAGTGAGGGGGAACTAACATTTTGTCTTTACTACAAGGTTGAGGATGAGGACCTTTACAATGAGCTGTTGGCCTATCCTATTAAAGCATAACTGCATGCACTCTATCTCTCTGGTATACATAACAATGATCCAGACTCTCCTCTCTTCTCTTTGGTCATCTTTATCAAAAGACTGGCCACCTATATATCTCTTAGTGGAACTGGCTTCCCTCGTAAGTTGCCTGCCTATAGGGCTCTTCTACTTCACCCTGAGGCCACCTAGACTACCAGCTACTGTACTTCTATTGTCCCTTATGCTTATAACTTTCCTTATCAAGTTGGAGATTTTATAGTTGCTTTAATTGCTAGAGTAGTCATTGTTAATAGTACTGTGACAGATGTCGATTAGGAGATAGGAGCCCATGCTTTTATTTATTTGTTTCTATAATAGTGAAGTTTTGTTTTTGTCATTACTCACACTGCATGAGTATTCTTGTACCTTAACAACTGATACATAATAAAAGAAGAAAAAATAAAAAAACAAATCTCCCTATTATTACTCTCTATTTCTGAGCACCCAACTCCTGTAGGCTGTCTAGCTTCCTCTGCATGTTGTATCAGAAATTCTTCATACCGAAGTAGACTATAATGTAGTTTTC